GGGGTCCTTTCCCCCCTCATGGGAAGGGGGGTTGGCAGGATCGGAAACCCCCCGAGGGGGGCCGCCCTGTGTGGAGGTCGCGAGCTGGGAGGACCACGCACCCGCCGCTGGCCCTGTGTCAGAAGGCACGGACATACGCCGAAGGAACTAAAATGACCGCTGTGTCGCAACCCTTGCAGTACTGTTATCCTTGCAGTACTGTTATCCCTGCAGTGCTGTTATCCCTGCAGTACTGTTATCCCTGCAGTACTGTTATCCCTGTTGTGCTGTTAGCCTTGCAGTGCTATGGAGAGAGAGAGGGTCAAATGGATAGAAGAGGGGGTTGTATTCTATGAGAGGGGGGGACATCGCGTTTGGCATTCAGGAAGTTAGATGTAATGCATTTGGTAATTATAAAGGGTAATTTAAAAGGTAGGCGATTCACCTATTAGCTTAGACGAATGGAACGCATAAGGGGGGAGGGGAAGATTCGATCATACAAAAAACATGAGCCATATGATGACGATTTAGATTTCCTTTGTAGCTGATATATTTATCTATGCGGATCTATACCTGTAATACCAATTGACGGTTTCGGTGGTAAGTATCATAATCATTCGCGATTCCCTGCTTTTCCATTACTCAAGAATCTTTGTAGATAGATTGCCTAACTTGCTATTAGCGCAATGAAAAGGACTCCACTATCTCTTTTCGATAGAACCTAGTGGCTGCTTTGTGAGTTTCACAATCAAAAAAATAACGCAACGCGATATTACGTTAGAAATTTCCGCCGCCGCCAGTTAGGATGGATGGAAGCTCATCTGTCTTTTCTATGGTCCGCGGTTTATGCTCTTTTATTTCCTCGGTCTCCGATTCCTGCTTTCGGATGCGAAAGCCATAGATCCGCGGGATATACTTCTGCGTTGGTTTGCTGATATTGAGGGCATTTTCACGCATTTGCATTAACAACAGGTGCGCAAACGTGGTCCCCCAAAAAGCCCCATCCAGCGTCCGGTGGCGATTCGATCGAGGGTAGTAAATATCCTGACATTTTGGACAAAAAAGTTTGACAGAACTTTCCCGCACAATATCGCTTTGCCCGACCGGCAGGAGCGGCTGACCGCTGCAAAAAACCCGTGGGCAGACGCCAAACTCACACTGCACAAATTTTTCCTCCATCAATTTCAGTCCTCGGTTGGTGGTAATGAAGCGGGCGTGAATGAGCCCATACAAGGTCTCCGCAGAGCTTTCTACCAACCGTCGCTGCTCTTCCGCTAGCTGCGTATTGCTCAACATCTCCATATCCAAAATAATATCCAAGGCATAGTTGTAAAACGACACCATCGTTGACAAGCCGGTCAGGTTGAATTCATCAGTTATAAATTCGCGATCAACCACGCAAAAGAACTCATTTCCCTTGAGCTCGCAAAACCAAGTAATCCACGAGGAGTATTCCTCATCTGCCTCTATGTCGTAACCCTGAATATCTACCGAAAACTCATCCATTTACTTGGAATGCGTAAGGGAAAATCCAAAGCGCAAACTGAAGCTTTTTATTATAAAAACAAAACGGCCACACACCTATAAGCTTCCAAATTAATCCCTGAAACAAGAAAAATGACACGTTCAAGGGGAAAAGGGTCGGTGTTGGAATCGCGTGTTAATAATTAAAAAAAACTTTAAACAAATAAATATTTAAGTATATAAAATACTTACTAGAGAATTAAATGAAAAGAAGACGGGAGGGGTGATTACTCTCTGAGGTCATCTAATCCTGAAATAAGCAAGGAAAAGGTGGAAAAAATATGGTGGAAGCATTCGTGTTAACGCACACACACACACAACACAAGCCAAAAGAGCATAGTGTCCATATGAGATCGAGGCTCTCCGCTTGTTAAATATAAATATAGGTGTAGATAATGTGCACACCGGATTTTTATTTCAGCTGAATAACTCACTACGAGTTAGTGTCATCTAAAGCTGATACTATCGGTTACTTTCTATTATCTTCACATCATTATTAGTGAGTCAATATGAAGAATTTAATTCATGAGAATTAATCACAAAAACCGTTCTTCAACCCTGTAGTAAAATCCAAAAGCGCATCGATATCATCAATTTCCCTCACCGAAAGGCTTAATTCATCAACTGCTTTTTTCTACCTCCAAGCTAAAAAAAAAAGAGGACCAACACAAAAATGTACGCCAAAGAATTTAGAATAAAAAATTACAAAAATTTGACAGGGCATCTGTATAATACTAGGTTTTAATGTCAAGAGAAAGGAATAAAGTTAACACTTCTAAAGAGTATGCTTTTAGAGCCAAAAGCACAATTGGAGGTATGAATATTCTCAGCATAATTACATGAACCTCTCAAACTTACAAATTTATTAAGAGTGAAGTCCATACGACCGCACCTAGTTTTTTTTATTAACGTAACGGTGCTTATTACTAAGTATGCTTTATTTGTACTGTAGAAAAAAAGGACCACATAAATATTACTCTATTAGTAACCTTTTCTAAGCGATTTCCACAGGTCGTTCTTGACTATATTCACACCCTCCACACCAACCATACATAGGAACGGAAAGATGAATTTGAAAATAAAAAAACGCGAGCCACAGACACTTTATGTGTCCAAATGAATAAGATATAGTGAGAGAGAGCATTATTTAGAACATTTAGCATTTCATATTACGAGTTCGACGCACCTACGCGAGTTTCCGTTTGTTGTTCATCCAACTCACCAACCCCACACCGTAGGGTGTTTGTTGAAGCTCCGCTCGGTGGGAGGACAGCCAGGTCAAAAACTGTCCTTCCAACGCCGCCGCCTCCTGCCGTTCGCCGTCGGTAATTCGTGGCGCCTGCCCGGAGGCGAAGGCCGTCAGCTGCTCGCAAATATGCCGCACGACGTAATTCCCGAACTGGTGTGAGGCCACCTGGACCATCAACATTTCCCCTCGCTCCAGCAGCGATTTGGCGAGCCGGAGGATGATTTGATTCCCTTCCACGACGTTCGCCGAGGCGATAATCGCCCGCTCGACGCAGTTCGACGCGAACTTTTGCATGCTCATGCTGAAGATATTCACCACGATGGCGTCGAAGGCGATCCGCAGGGTGTTCTCCACCTCCGACCCCGAGACGGCGCGCGGGGCGAGCTCGAGAAAGAAGGTCTGCGCGACGTAATTCCCGTAGTTGTGGACCACCAGCTCCTTCACGCGGTGGGCGAGCTCCTTCAGGAGCTGCGAGCATTGCGAGACGAAGGCGAGGTGGGGCGGACTCGTCGGGGGGGTCTTTTCCGCCGCGAGAATCACATCCGCGAAGTGCGGGATCATCACCTGGACGGAGCGGCAGGCGACGATGTGCTCCGCAAGCAGTTGAATCCGCGTCAGCGGGGTCGACGCCGGGGCCTCCACCGCCGTGTCGTTCGCCAGCCCCGATACGGCGGGCTGCCCGCTGGAAAAGGAGGACGCCACGGCGTAAAAGAATCGCCAATCGAAAGGGGGCTCCGGGACGTGGTAATCCTCAAGGCTCATCGGCGCGTGGAGGGCATTAGGGTCGGGCTTCTCATGCCCCGACTGGAGGATCGAACCCGAGGTGGTGTCCTCCGTGCGGGCTTGCTGAGGTTTCGGCAACGATGGGGTCCCCCCCGACGCGTCGTCCACCTCGCGGGTCTCCCTCCCGCGCTTTCCGCCGCGCGAGCCCTGCGGCGCGCTGCGATCCCGTCGGCCGAGGGCTGCCTCGAAAGTGCGGTACTTCGGCCGCAGGGCCCGGATCAGACTAGTCACCATACAACTTCCCCCATTGCCGCTCACCACCGTGAGGCCGTAGTGCGCAAAGCAGCCACACAGGATGTCGATCTCGCTATCGTCCGGCGAAATTGCGGGGGTCTCCGTCTCCTCCGGTGAATCCTCCTCGCCCAACTGCAACCGAAAGCTTCGGAAGACAAATCGAGAGGTCAGAATGCCGGCAAAAAAGGACTTGAAGAGCTCCTCCGTGCCGGAGGCGGAACCCGCCGAGGGCGTCAGCCGCATGTGCTCGAAAAACGCACGGCGCTTACTTTGCTGCTCCAGGGCGATCTTGAGCAGCGCGCATCCCTGGGGAGAGGCCAATAGGGCGATCTTCTGGCTCTTATCCGGCCCACCCGTGTGAAGCGCGGTGGTCGAATTGCCGTGTGAACCCGCCCCCTCGCCGGCGTCGTCGTGGGCCTGACCCGCGACTTGCTCATCCGGGGCGTCGTGATCCCCGTCGTTGGGGGCCTTATGGTCCCCCGCCCCAGCGGCCACCGATGAGCAGGCCTCCTGCACGAGGCGGAGGAAGAAGTTGGTGGAGAAGTCCGAGTCCTCCTGAACGACCTCGGCCACCGCGTCGAAGGTCTTGCGGTTGACCATCATTTCCTGAATCACCT